TGTGTTTTTGACTCGGCTTGTTCCTCTGACTATTCTGTTCTGCCTTGCCCTCTTGCTTCAGACTGTCACTGTGTATAATTATCGGACTTCCCTTTGGACTACGTATTTGGATTCCTCTGCTGTATGTGTTTGCTGGCTCTGATCTCGGACTGTTTATACCGACCTGTGATTTTTGTGTTTCACCGTGTCTTGTATGGTTTTGTTTAGCGTTAGTTCTCTTATTAAAGAGACGGTTTTGTTTTACATTTCCTTGTCTGGCCTTTTAATTGAGTTCACCCTCAACATTTTTGGCAGCATAACGCGCCGATTCCTGACATGTGGTGTGTGCGTGTGTGTTTGTCTTTATATACTTGTGCGAACCAACCCCTGATGGAACACCTTTCTTGTGTGGACATTTCATTGGTGACTTTCACCAATGCGGTTTTTGTACTATGATGGACTCTAAATCCTGACTGAAAATCCTCAAACAAATCATTCTTGTGCAAGTGGTCACATAACTGCTTTGCAACAGCTTTTTCAAGGATTTTGGAAATAAATGGGAGATTGGATATTGGTCTATAATTAGCTAGGACACCTGGGTCAAGAGTAGGCTTTTTGAGTAGAGGTTTAATTACTGCAAGTTTAAAAGCCTGTGGAACATAACCTGTTAATAGAGAGAGGTTAATCAGATCTAGTATGGATGTGTTGATTAGGGGAAAGACAAGGAGTAAGGTGTGCATGCAAGTCATAAAGAAGATAGACGGGGGGGATGAGGGAGCATAGAAATATAAATCAAACAGGAGAGAAGGGAGAGGGTGACAGAAACATGAATTTATAGATAAAGCCAAACTAAAGTATAAATACAGCGACATCATAGAGTATTAGATCAAATTTTTACCACATGCTCACAGCACTAGCAGTTTGTTACTAATACTGAACATTGATACAGAATTATTTTTAACACATTCAATTAAGCTACACTTGCAGTCTTTGATAAAACATATATAATCCAGGCATTCTCCTTATACAGCCTCCATTATAGAGGTGTTCTGCAGTGTCAGCTAACTGGTGTTTTGGTGGCTGCAAATCGTTGTAGCTGCTTTTTTTCCCAGTTTTATTAGAAGTATATCCATTCATCCAAAGGACTGATTGTTATTGTAATGAGCAAGAAATGTTATACTGGTTAGCTCGCTTTGCAGTGGATGTGGACACATGGCTAACAACACTTTAAAATGAATATTTATTCAACATGCAGTCCTAAAAGTGTATTCAGACTTAATGTGAAACAAATGTTGCCTCATGTTATTACCTCATATTTGAACACTGGATCACTGATGCACATTCACCACAAACAGCCAAACAGTACAGACATTAGTTGTATGCTAGCTAGCAACAGATGCACCATGCATATCTGTGGGAGTGTGCTGTGTTTATATCTGAGCATGGTTGAAAGCCAGTGCCTGAGAGACATCTGACAATCCCTCAGGGACTGAGAGATGACACATAGGACATAACATACCGTAGTGTGAGGGAACGAATATGCTCAAAGTCAAAAGAGGCATAACTCAGGTAGAAAGTCTTGTTTTATAATTCATTGCCAAGTGTGTGTGTTCCAAACCATAATGTGGAGGAGGCCATTGCTTTCTGCACTGACCTTCTACTTTTCATTCATAGTTGATAATGTGATTTGTTCCTGTTCTCACCCTGAAAAGGAAACATTTATTATTAACTACAGTCATTAAACAAAGTGTGATCCCGGAGGAAGCTGTTGGTCCTAATGGAGTACATTCATTTATATGTTAATTCAATGTATTGTAGAACACACATCCTGGATTTGGTTCATGACCTAGGTTCAGTTAAATATTAGGATGTTTTATGATTTTATATACATAAAACAGAAGGTCAGGACTCAATGTGTCAACAGCCTCAGTAAATGTATATAAACCGCCTCATTTTGGGATCATCGCGGTTATAAATCAAGATAAGGTTCAAATGGTGTTTTTGTAGACATTTTACTATTTTATTATCTGTTGTGACAGTTTTGTAAGGCTGATATACTCAGTGTATTGATGCATTCAATCCCAAGTGACTTGTTTCAAAAGAAGATAATTTATCCTTCGCTAAAACTGAAGCATGAGAAAGCATGTCTCACTTTGGCTTTTCTGAGCCTCAAGTTTCCACAATTAAATTTCCAAAGTTTAAATTTCATGTCAAAATTCTCTTTCAGACCTACATCCAGTCAGTTAAAATTTGGGTCACACAGAGGCAGACAGGAAATGGAGGAGAGAGCGAAGGGGAGACCTTGGACACTGTAGGAATCAATAAGTATCTCTCAGCAGAATAAACAGTTGCTGTGGTAGAAGGAGGCTCTCAAAATGTAGCTCATTTTATGCTGCAGACAGTTTTTGTTTGGTTGTTTGGAGCATTTGAAGGCATCAGCAGCTCTAAGAAGGTTAATAGTATGCAGCGAGTGAATGGAGCAGGTGAAATCAATAAGAGATCATGACTTCCACTGTAATTTACCCAGGCATCATGTTTCATGGAAGCAGCAGGTAGTCTCATTTATTCATTCATTATAAATAGAGCAGAACAACAGCCAGCTATACACAGGAGTGCACCGAGTGCTAATGGTGTGTTTGTGTGTGACTCTTTCAGTGAGTGAAAGAAGTCATTTGAATTTCATATTTTAACTATTCCCCCATGTTTAGCAGACATACTGTAGGAGTATCAACTCACACACACACACAGCAAACAGCAAAGTATGTGGTTGGCTCTAATCCATGTCCTGAGGCAATGATTAGACTTCGATAGAGACATCATATACTGTGCATGTGTGTGATATCTCTATCAAAGTCTAATCATTGCCTCAGGAGGTGTGTGATATACCTGTCATTCATAAATTATGTCTGTCAGATTGAGCCTTTTTTATTTCTGTAATGATAATGGATTGCAGGGCACATTCCATCACTGTGGTCTTAAATTTAGACTCTTTCTGCTGCAGTGCATTAGTCCTTTAATACTTTTCAAATCAGGTCAGTCATGGACAAATAACATCAGCAGGCCGAAACTGATTTTGTCAAATGCATGGTAGCAACAAAATCATCATGTTTGAGTATAAATGTAGGAGTTATATTTTGATTTGACAATTTGTTTGATATAGTTTATATTAGGCATCTTCACCTGCACATGTTTTCATTACAATCATGTAATGCTGCTGTTAGTCTAATCTAGTCTATTCAAATCAATTCAAAGTGGATGAAACTGAATGGGGAAAAGGCTGGATATTAATAATAATGTAATAACAGTTTTTTTGCTGAGTCTTTGCTTAGTCTTTTGCTTTTGACCAGACCAAACTACAAGATGAATTTTTATTTAGTCTAGGTTCCAGTCACAACATGACAGTCTGCACAAATTATATGGTATGTCTATGGTCGGTCTCCAAGTCATCTGAAGGTGACTTATAGCTAACTTTTAGGATAGATTTTAAAGTTTAAAGTCAGAATTCAGTGCTAATAGGACTTTGGAAGACTTCTACTAACATCACACTGCTGCCCTAAATTTTCTCTTCACTGTCTTACCCCACAGGTGAGGATGACGATGACGAGGAATGCGGGGAGGAAAAGCTGCCATCGTGTTTTGACTACGTCATGCACTTCCTCACCGTGTTCTGGAAGGTTCTCTTCGCCTTTGTCCCACCTACAGACTACTGGAATGGCTGGGCCTGCTTCGTTGTGTCCATCTGCATGATCGGACTGCTCACTGCCGTCATCGGTATGATCACAGCTGACGAGACATTATGAAATATTAACATAAGTCATGTAATATTTAAGCTCAAATGCATTAGTAAAACTTTTCTAAAGGAAAATTGGTCATTAAAATCTTTAGGCAAATAACGTGTATAATGATTTACAGTATAGTGTTAGAGTGACTTTTAGTTTCATCAGGCAGTTTGTCTAGCATCTGTATGTAAAAACATTTGTAATTTTTTTTTAATATTTGACAATAGTACCATGATGTTAGCAAAATCAACACTAACAATAAGATATCAATGATTCATTTTAACAGTAGAAGTTTATATGCTAAATTTAATAGCATAAAACACTACTTAATGAATTTGTCACAAGTATTTAACATAATAGCAATAACTGAAACTTGGATCAAGGATGCAAGGGGCACGGATTTTGAACTTGATGGTTATGAAATGGTTTATATAAATAGAGAAGCTAGGATAGGTGGTGGAGTGGCACTGTTTGTTGATAAAAATATTAGATATAAAATAATAG